TGTCTATGCTCAAGAAGTATCATCCAGATCCCTCCCATGTACTGCAACCAGAAAATATTGAGATTGACGAGGCACTAACGTATGAGGAGAAACCAGTGAAACTTCTGGATCGTAAGGTGAATGAACTAAGGAATAAGCAAATTGCTTTGGTAAAAGTTCTATGGAGGAATCACGCAATAGAGGAAGCAACTTGGGAGGTAGAAGAAAAGATTCGAGAGAAATATCCAGACTTATTTTCGAATTAAGGTATGAATTTTGTGGACGAAATTCTTTTAAGAGAGAGAGGATGTGAGATTATTCTTAATTTAGCCTATTTTAAAATTATTTGCATAGGTATTATTTAATTTTATTATTTTAGCGTGAATTTTACTTAATTATACTTTTATCACTTACGCATCAAAATTTTTCAAAAAGTCACGGCGGTACGACTAATCGGATATTTGGAGAATTAATTTTAAACTAGTAAGAATGGGTAATTGTAATGCTAAAGGAACTACTTTGGAGGATTAGTATTTAAGTGTGGCAAACCATAAGGAATTGGTAGTACATGTCAATATGACACTACTAGTCAAAGTTGACTCTCTCACCTAACAAAAAGCAACCCTTCTTCTTACCTTTTCACCACAAATCAAAATTTCAACTCCCTCACACTTTCTCTCTACTTGGCCGAAATTTGGAGCTCAAAAAGAGGAAGGAAAAGCTTCAACCTTTGGCATTAATCTTGCTCAAAGATCCACACCCAACACTCAAGACCTTTGGATATTGTTCTAGCTAGAGGAAAGTTGCAATCTTGTGGTGGGTTTGGTGGATTGTTGGTGAAAAACCTTGGCTCTACCTTGGGTTCAAGAAACCTTCAAGAGGTAACAAATTTTACTCCCTTTGATCTTTAATTTTTCAAAGATTAGTAATGGGTAGTGGTTGTTGCATGGATTTGGAAATCCTACCCAAAAATCTAAGTTAGAGGACTTGAGGAAACCCTTGTTTCTTACTTTATATCCTAGGTAGCGGTCTTGAGGTGAATTTTAGGTAGAGAAATTGAGAATTCTTGTTTATTTGATTGTATTCTTGTGGATTATAGCTTGGTTGTTGGCTTGAAAGTTGGAAAGAAACTTGAAGGTGAAGGGGAAGGGGCTGCCGAAATTTTTCTGATTTATTTCCTTGATTTAATTTGAAAATTTGTTGCTTAAATTATGTTAAAATTGCTGGTATGAATGTCATACTTAAGTTTATGGTTGGTTTAAATAAAAGCCTTGTGGTTTTAAAAGAGAAAAAGGAGTTTTTCCAAGTGAAAAATGAGTTTCTAGATTTTCGGATTTCACTGACCGATCTTAGTAAAATGCTTATATCTTGGTGTAAAAAAATCCAATTGAGGTGCCATTAGTGGCATTTGAAACTAAGCTCATAGGCCTTTGTTCTGTAAAAATTTCATATTTTTCCTCCATGTGTACTGCTGTCCGTGACTCCTCAAAGTAAGCTGTCCTGCTTGAATGTCCTGTTCTTCAGGAAAATGAATTTTTGACTTGGATCGAATATTTGGCCTACTTGTGATTTGAATCTCTGAAAAGTGTCCTCTAGGATGTTGTAGTACTAAAAATTTATTTTTCAACGGTATAAAATTCTCCTGCTAATTCTTTTTGAGTGAGCCATAGCGAATCGGCAAAATGGACTGACCTGTTTTACCTGGTTGTCCGAGAGAAACTGTGTAACTGCATATTGTGTCTCAATTTCGTCCCTCTTGTGAAAGGATTTTGGAAACAATGTCTTCTTATGATTTGAAGCATTTTGAATCTAGTTTCTAACGCCATAAACCATTCTCCATTTGGACTTGTGTAGAGTTAGATATGGTCTGATTTCAAAACTATGTCAAAGCTAGTAACTGAAAAATTGTTGAACAGGTTGTGAAATCCAGCCATTTTCAAACTATTGTATCTTGCTGTTCAAAAATCTGGATTTAGTTCTGCTTGTTGTGTTTGAAACTTTATTTGAAAATCTTGCTGTGTTATAAATTTCAGAGGTTAATTCAATACCTGTGAATTTTGTCAAATTTTCAAACCTTTCTGAAAAACAAGAATTGGTTCTGCTTTGTCTTCATGAAACAGTAACTTTGAGTTGAAATTCAAATGACTTCTGGTTGGAATCTGGGAAAAGTGTCTCCGGAAAAGTTTTAGTACTTTGAATCTAATTTCCAACGGTATAAAGTTTCCCATTTTTGGACTTGCCAAACTCGAGATATGATTTTCTCAGTATTGTCGCGTAAAGCTAAAATTTGTTGGTTTCACATAAAATGAACTATTAAGAACTCCCAATTTCTTTTTGAGATTGATAGTCCGTTTTAAACTTGATTTCATGGATGATACAAGTTTCCCTTGTGACTTTAAATCCTCATTTTTGAATCTCGATTTTTTATGAATTAAAACTCTTTTAAGGCGTTGTTTAAGTTTTAAGCAAGTGCATTTTCTTCCTTGAATATTAAGCGGTCTAGAGTATATGTGAGTGATGATTGGTTGTTATTTCTTCAGATGCTCAAGAGGGTTTCGAAAAGAATCCCGTGCGAACAACTAAAGGGATTTATTTACTCACTTCGCTTTTGAATTGGTGAGTGTCAAGTGCATGAATTGTTGCTAAATACTTGAATTGTTTCGTGTTAATTAGGTGATTTGGACTTGTCGAGACGAGTGTGTACTTTATTGCACTCGTTCTCTTTTACCTGACTTGACAATTGACTTGCATGAACATGACTTGATAATTGAATTGTATGAACTTGGCAAATTGTACTTGTACATCTAGAGACGTCCAAAACTCATTAGCTAACCTTACGATTCGAGCTGGCATGGGCTTGGTCGAGAAGCCTGGTGAACCATGAGAAAATTATAAGATTGACCTTTTGAGGTCTTGTTTGGCATACTCGAATAGTATTGCCCTTCCAGTGACTCGGTTACAGATCCGAGAGGGTGAAATGATAGATAGAGGAAATAAGCGGGGTTTCTACGGACTTGCTACCTACCCAGATGACGGAGTGTCACCGCGTGGAGATATTGGATCAAGTCTTAGCAAAGCAATGGGAATTTAACTCTTGAGAGTCCGTATCCTTATTGATTGTGCTTTACTGTTATTTGTGAATTACATGAACTTTCTAGCTATAATTTTTGTACAAGTGTTATTGTTACTTGAACTTATTTGTTTGCATGCTTTTCTAGGCCTCACTGAGTGTTAGCTCACCCCCGTAGTTTGTTTTCCTTAACAGGAGCTTGGAATGGAAAGATTTTGGAGAAGCTGACTTGATTACCTTTTGATTAGAATTTGGATGTAAATGGTTTAGTCAACTTTGGATGGTTGTATTTTTTTAAAAATTTGATGTATCTTTTGGAAACTTTGTGATGTAAGGCTTGAATGATTATTTAAGAAAGCAACTTTTCTTTATATTGACTTTTATTACTAGTTGTTTACCTTTAAGTTTAAATTTGACTCGTATTGAGCCCTGGCGAGTGCTAGGCAGGCGACCCGCCGAAACCCTAGGGTTCGTCCTAAGGAGAAGTTAGGTCGTCACAGTTACTTTATCTTTATTTTGCTAATCTTATAATTTTCATTTTCTGGTTCTTCATTTTGGTTATTTCTAGTACTAAGTTCTTCACATGATAGCATCATAGTACGTGGGCACGCCGACAACGACTCGAGTGATCGAGGGGCTGAGGATCACATGCAAGTTCCAAGTGGATCCATTATTAGGGCTCGCACAAAAAGACTTCGTGAGCAACTCAATGTACTTGTTCAGGCCATACACAAGTCCTTTGAGGGATTCATACACTCTAATGAAGGTGATCGAGGCCCGGTATTGAGCATTGGAACTATACACGAGTTATAGGGTTTTGCCAAACCTTAGTTTTCCATTTTAGTAGTTTATTTATTCCCATATTAGTTTGATTAGCTTAAATAATTGGCTAAGTGCATGTTGCACATAGAATCGCCAAGGGTAGAATTGCTATTTTGTTCATCATTATATGTTAAGGTGGGCTGCCTTGGATGGAAAGCCCGCATGAGGCCTTGACCATCGAGGGCTGAGCCCGTAGCTTCCGTTTCCGTTTCCGTCACTTGTTAGGGCTATATCAGCCGCACCTTTAGTTCATTTTCTTACTAGATTAGGTTTTTACTTGTAGCCTATATAAGGCACCACATTACATCAATAAAAGGGTAGACGTTTTTATCATAAAAAAACCTAGTGAGATAATTTTCTCTATAGCTTTCGAGCATGCCTTGAACAACTTAGAGTCATACTCTAGTGTTCTTGTTGGCTTATCAATTCAAGAATCGCACTTGAATTGTGGCGCCTTCTACACTTGCCTGAGGTTCGCTAATTCGTTTGATTACAGGCTGAGATAGTATCAACAAGTTCGTAGTCACGGGAATTAGAGGGGTCATAGGGTTTCCGCTGCTATCGTTTCTTGCGTCCGAAGTCAAATCCAACAAGCGATCTTAGGCTGTGAATCTTCTTCACCAACGAGATTCATATCATCACCAAAGGCATTATTTGCCTTCAAAAAGTAAACATGGCAAGAAGAGAAAGAAGACAAGCCCAACAATAGCAAATTGAGATGGAGAGTATAGGTGAAATTTCTGTTGAAATGGAAGAACAAAAGCCAAGACCTTTGAGGGATTATACCTTACTAAATGAATCGGGAGTACTAACTAACATTGCAAGACCGGTAATTAATGCAAATAACTTTGAATTCAAGCCCTCACTAATTCAAATGGTTCAACAAAGTCAATTTGGAGGAAATGCAATGGAGGATCCTAATAGTCATCTAACTAACTTCATGGATTTATGTGGTACAATCAAAATAAATGGAGTAAGTGATGATGCAATTAAGTTAAGCTTATTTCCTTTTTCACTTTGTGATAAAGTGAAAGTATGTATTAATTCTTATCCACCTAATACTTTCACTTCTTAGGGTGAGTTGACAAAAGCATTCTTAAATAAATATTTTTCTCTTGGAAAAATGGCTAAATTTCGCATGGATATAACAGGTTTCACTCAACATAAAAATGAGTCGTTATATGATACTTGGGAGAGATTTAAAGATATTCAAAGAAGATGTCCTCATCATGGTCTCGCCGATTGGTTGGTTGTTCAAACTTTCGATAATGGCCTCAACCATCCAACCAAAATCAACATACATACTGCCACCGGTGGAGTTTTAATGGGAAAATCAATCAAGAATGCTCAAGTTTTGATAGAGGAAATGACCTCTAACAACTATCAGTGGGCAAATGAAAGAGGTAACTCAAGAAGAGCAGCAAGTATGTATCAAATCGAGACTCTCAACTTTTTAAATGCTAAATTAGAAATATGTTTAACTCTCATATGGATAATGTTGAGAGGTTGCTAAGTAAACAAGGGGGAAATGGTTCAAATTCTCATATAAGTGTTGCTTGTTGTTCAACATGTGATGGTAATCATAATAGTTCTAATTGTTTTCATATGGAATAAGTTCATAATGGTAACAACTATAATCGGCCACCTCAAAATAACCCTTTTTCAAACACTTACAACCCCAGTTGGAAGAATCATCCAAATTTAGGGTGGAGAGTCCAATCAAATGCACAAAAACTTATCAATCCACCCGATTTTCAAAAAAGGCCACTTGAGTCACGTTTTTCAACTTTAGAGGTTAAATTTGAAAATCATGTTCATGAAACAAAAACAAGCATGAACAATATGATGACCATGATTAGGGACGTGCAAGGCCAATTAGGTACTATTGCTAATTTCACTAATTTGAGGCAACCGGACAAATTTTCAAGTAAAATTAAGGTGAATCCTGGAGAACATATGAATGTAATCACTCTTAATAGTGGTAAACAATTAAAGGATAATCAACTTGGTAAAAATGGAAAAATGATGAAATTAGGGGTAAAAATGAACAAAAAGGTAAAAAGGATCATGTTCCAAATAAGTTTCATATACCTTCTTCTCATATTTCTCATAAGAATGCTACTAACGCCGTTCCTTTTCCCAATAGGTTGAAGCAAAGCAAGGAGAAGGAATTTGAGAAATTTGCTCAAATGTTTAAGCAAATTAGAATTAATATTCCTTTTGTTGATCCTATCTTACAAATTCCCTCTTATGCTCATTTTTTAAAGGATATTATGTCAAGAAAGAGAAAAACTAAAGATCATGAGACAATAGCATAAATGGAGAAATGTTTGGCATATGTTCAAAACAAACTTCCAACTAAGTTTAAAGATCCGGGGAGCTTCACTATACCTTGTACTATTGGACATTTGAATTTCACTAATGCTTTATGTGATTTAGGTGAAAGTGTATCATTGATACCACTTTCCATTGCAAGAAAGCTTGATTTGAGAGAAATGAAGGATACAAATGTTAATCTTCAATTTGCGGATAGATCCATAAAGCGTTCGGTTGGTATAATTGAAAATGTCATTATTAAGGTGAAATCATTATTTATACCGGTTGACTTTATTGTACTTGATATGAAAGAAGACATGCATTTACCTATTATTTTAAGTAGACCATTCATAGCCACCACCAAAACTCTAATTGATGTTCAAGAAGGTAAATTGACCTTTAGAGTTAATGGTGAAAAGTCAACATTTAATCTTAATGAAAGTAAGGATCTTGATTTATGGCATGGGAAAGCTTTTAAGCCAAAAAAGGTTAATGTTATACAAGAGTTGTATAAAAAATTTTATAATATTGAAACTCTTGATTCTCCTGCTTATAACATGCCTAATATGAAGAATAAAGAAAATGAGATCCTTAATCCTAAAGTTCAAGTGGATAAATGCAAAAAAATCAATTAGACTTTGGGATTGTTTAAAATGTTACTCAAGAAATTCTCATACATATTATGATCATGCTAACTCTTCTTTGTTTGATGATGAGGATGATTTGAAGAAAGGACAAGATCAAAATATGGTGAATTCAAAGAGAGGTTTTATCCCTTGGGAAAGAACTAGTTCCATTTCCCCTCCAAAGTGAAGTTCAAGAAGAAACATGTTTGAGTCGAACCAATGTGTGAGGACTCACAAAAATTTAATATTTTAAATTCCATTTCGAGCTTATTTAAATATTTAATTACCCATTTATTCCGAATATTATTTTCTAACCTCTTTAGACCTAATTATATGGATTTATAGCTTCGCTATATTTTTAGAGTGACTTGTTTCAAAATTTAATTTTTAGAAGCTCGTTAAGTGAAAATAGCGAATACGCGATTGGAATCAATAATCGATTCGAGGATATAATAAGTTTGGAAAATTAGAGACTTACGCAATGGTCCTACAATAGGTAATTTTATGTTTAAATACTCAAGTGATAGTTATTAGTACCATCGTTATAAGAATTTCTTGGAGATTGCACTTTATCGCACTTAAATTGGAAATACGTGTTTTCACATGCGCTATTTAATTGAGGGACTCTAAACCCTTATTTTGGGACAATTAAGAGTGAATAATATTTATATGAATATAAGTGTATTGGAGGTTTAGTGCCCTAATGAAATAAACTCGAGAGGAATCGAGCACAAAACGCGCGCGTACACGCGCGAAGGAGAGTTGACTTTTGCACCAACTTGGGCCACACATTAAAGCTTCTCAAGGAAGCTTTATTTGATCAATACACTCTCTCTCTCCTAGTCTCTCTTGGCCGGCTATCAAGCAGCAAAAATAACCCAAGAGCTCTTCAACTTTCCATCTCCAAATCTTGCATAAATCATCAACCAAATCAAACCAAAATCGAACTACACCTAGTTGAACACTTGGAGATTGTATCTATCTAAAAAAAAGGGGGAGCTTTTCACAGTTTTCTTGGAGCAAGGAGGGACCGAAAATTCTGCTTAGGCTCACCAAACCAAGTAAGTGACGATCAAACCTTGAAAACTTAGTTTATGGAAGTTCTAGTGCACATCTAAGCTCTTGCATGCATGTGGGTAGCGTTATTTTGAGGCAAATTTGGTTGTGTGGGCTCCATGAACTCCCACCTTGGATATATGGACTGATTTGGTGATTGATGATGAAAATAATGTTGGTTTAGTGCTTATTATACTAGAAATGAGTGATGCTATGAGTAAAAACTCAAATGAGGTGCAATGGGAAAAAGTGACCATTTTACCCCTGCTATATTCAAGCACTTTGATTAAAATTTTGAGGTTCTAATGGCTTGCTTATGTTGTTACATGTTATATTGAGTGTGTAAAAAGTTTCATTGAAAAATAACATGATTTGGTTGGACAAATGTGTTGATTTCCAAAGCTTGGCAGAACTGGAAAATTTTTCCGGATTGCCCAGGCAGTCCCTTTGTTTCGGCTATAACTTTTTACTCCGATGTCGAAGTTGAGTGCCGTTTGTGGCACTAGAAACTAGACATTCCCAAATTTCTATTGGTATAAAATGTACATCCTAGTTCCACTTGTGTGAGCCAAACCATTCGTTTGAAGTTTGCTGTCCTGTTTCGTTTGTTCATTACAGGGTAGAACATGAACTACAACTTGATGCTCAAATGTGAGCTAGTTACGGATGGATTTTGAAAATGGTTTCTTCTGAGAAATTGTAGATTAATGAAAATTTTTTCCAACGCCACCAACCACATCCAGTTTCGAGTTGAATTGAGTGATTTGTGGCCGTATTTCGAAACTGACTTCTTGAAGGAAAACTCTCCTTTTGGGTAGAATAGTTGCTAAACTCGATTGAGACTTGTTAGTTTGAGATTCTTGGTGTTAATCACCATCAAACATGTCTTGGATGTTTAATAAACATTGTCTATTAAAATGTACCATGTTTGCAAGGATCTCATGTGGCCAAAAGCTTAGAAAAGGCCATTTTGTATACAAGGCAGTTTTGCCTTGAAATTTTGGAAACTTAGGTGATTTAGTTAACCAACTTTCCATGCTTATTTATCCACGAAATTTGGCAGAGATATGGTTCTTATATGGTAGTATCATACTGCTAATTTTGGTGCTATTCCGATGCCGTTTCATTGCTTGACTAAATTTCCAAAATGCATGACTTGACTTTAGAAAACCCTTGTTTAACAAGGAAATTTGAGTAATTTTGAGCTACCATATGTTGGTGCTCAAAACTTCAATTCTCATTCCGATTTTCTATTTTAAACTTGGATTGCAACTCTAATAGAGTTTCAAATTTCAAATGCTAGTTCAAATTGAGCGAATTTTGCCAAATTTTCAAAATTGGCCGAAAACCAACATAAATCTGTCTTGATAACGCAAGTTGTCAACTTCAAGCCAAAATTTGAATGCCTTTCACTTGGATTCATGAAAAGGTGTCATCTAAAAACTTTTAGTACTTTGAGAGATGTTTTCAACGGTACCAAATTTTCTAATTTTGGACAATCAGGGAGTGAGTTATGATTTTTCAAAGAATTGCAAAAAAAATTAAAAATTGTGATCATTTGAAAGAAATTCGCGCGGGAACTGTTCACTAGAATCCGGCCTTGAATCCAGCCAGTTCTTGGCCGGATAGGCGGCCGGATTGGTGAAGGGATTTGAATAAAAAATGGAGGTTGCTCTCTGCCTCCAATCCGGCCAGGAATCCGGTCGGATATCCGGCTAGAATCCGGCCGGATTGTGACGTCACCTGCCCTCTTCCGACTTCGGTCGTTCGTTTTAAGATCTATTTGCTTGCACTTGTTTCCGTCCAATGATTTTATGTATGATGATTCGTTTGCTCGAGTCTTGTAACTCTTTTGAACTCGATTTTCAAAAGAAAACTAGACCGATTTTCGAGATATTTTCTAAGTCCGTACTAGTGTACGACCTTCCTCATTGTTTGAGAATTATCAGTAATAGCCATTCTTAATTGCTCAGGCACACAAGAGGACCTTCAAGAGAATCCCACAGTGAACGCCTAAAACTCCGAGGAACATTTCTTCCTCATTACTTATATTGGTGAGTGTCAAGTGTATGAATACTTGATACATGTTTAATTATTATGATTGTTCGGAGATTTTGAAAATGGAGGCGAGTGTGTACTTTGCCGCACTCGTTCTTATTTGAAATGAATGACTCATGATTCAAATGAAATGAATGAATTATGAATGACTTAATTGAATGAAATGAAATGATTGAATGA